GAATCTGGCGAGTAAGCGATGCCATACAATGGTCATTGGCGATTGATCGCTCCTGCACGGCGTATAATATGTGAAGACTCGTAATTTTATTGAATCTGATACCACGGGAAAGAGTCGCTCGAAAGCTTTTATGAATAGGTACGGGAATATGAAAAGAAGCTAATTTCAGAGAGAAAGAACTAAAATCAAGCAATATAATATAATTTCTTGCAGTTTCGAAAAATGATTCAATTTCAGCAAAGTTCGATGAAAAATAATAGATGGATATTTCCATCCCGTTCGAATCTGCGTACGAACAGATTGAATCAATCCTACCAGAGGTTGAATCAATCAAAGTGACAGTAGAGAAACAAAAAGCAAACCGAAAAATATATACATCATCGGAACAGACAACAGAATCAAATAAGTTACATTAAATTCAAGAAATCGGCCAATGAAAGGCATTCGGCTATCATGCTATAGCGACGAAGATGACCGTTACAAACGAACAAACTTTTGTACACCCGTCTACAGCGCGTAAAGATCGAACCACAAGATCAGAAACCTCCGCTAACAACTATTCGCGTAAACTGACCTTAGTCCCCTTACAGCCGTTACCGTAGGCCAAAGGTGCATGGACAAAGACAAAGCAGTGTTAGAAGAAAAAAACAAAAGCTTCCGCAACCTGTATCGGTTAAGTACCGTACTCTCGTCAAGGAAATTAGACGTACGACTCGAAGCAAGTATTCCGCACCCACAAGGCCTTTGGCATAATTCCATAGGTGACCGAGAATATCGGCGCTGGACTGGCCAAAGTTAAAATCGATCCTTAGAAAAAAGTTACTAAAAATCTTTAAAAAAGCACTTCCTGACCACGCTAGAGGTGAAGTGCAGACGCTAGCCGAATCCAGACATTTTCTTGTCTGAGATCCATGTCTTGTCGACTGCGCGAAACGGCCTCCGTCATCCATATTTGCCACCAGTCAATTACGTCACTCAGTCGATTGATCACATAAGTCATGAAGCAGTGAGTTAACAACAACCAAGAGCAAAGGTAACGGAAGGGCGTAAGAAAAAAATTACGCGTAAAAGAGTAAATTAAATTTGCAAGAACCGCAGATCCGCTGAGGCAAATAATTAAAGTCTACAAGAAACACGCCATAAACAAATGCCGCTAAATTACACGAAATTCGGTCACCACAGAAGCGCTTGACAGCACTAGTTAAGTCAGTCTCCGAGATAAGCACAGTCACAAAACAAATAGGGAATTAATCGTTACATGGTCAGTACCGGCCAAGTACATCGCACTGATCGGCGTGCCTGCCAAACTTGTACTTTGCACAATTTTACGACGAGACGGAAGGTTTCGAAAGTAAGGTAGCTACTTAATTCAAATTCTGTTCAAGAGAAATTCAGCAGGCTGATCTTCAAACGATGCTCAAACCTACGACGTGGTCAAACGAATGAACATGACGTTAAGAATTCAACTGCGTTTCGTTATAGCACAACCCGTACCAGCATCCGGTAAACAACAACAAACAGCTGTCAACGCCACAATCTTCAAGATATGTGAGTAACCTCGGTGGTGAACCTCAGTTAGTTCGTCAAGTAGCGCATCGTATCACAAACCCACTAATTCGAACGGATTCACTCATCTCAAGGTGCATCATCATGATAACAACTTGCAAATGTTGACGGCCAGGAAATTCATATGCGAAATTAACCGTCTAAAACTATTGAAGAAATTGCTAAACGATATCCGTCGTTCACAGAAAAAAACTGCGGTGTAACTACAAACTGAAACTTCCTAGCCAAGGACAATAAATTTTAAATAAATAAAGGAAATATTCGCCCTATATATGTTTTTATTGCCATCTCAATTAAGCTTGAAACTCTGAAAACGGAGCGACGTTGATCCGAAACGCCAAAATCTTTGTATCGCATTTATGACTGAAAGTTTCATGCGGTGCTATCTCGTCTGTGACCTCCCGCAGCAGAAGCCATCTTCGGAATAAACAGCTCAGGCAATATGTTTAGAATGAAACTAACTTTCAATGTTTATGATAAATCCGGTCACTGCGAGAAAGACCTAGTTAATAAGTACAGACAATGATGCCTTTCAAATAACTGGAAAGACATCTACAACGTCGTTTAAAAATGAATATAATACGTTTAAAGCAAATAATTAGGAAATCGATACCAGGAACTAGTTAGAACACTTGCCAGCATGTCGAAAAGACAGCAAATTATTCAACCGTCTTAAAGCACACATTAGATGTAGAACATCGGTTTACAGAAGTCGATGCTTCTGGACAAAAGCATTCAAAACTATGGAGAAAATACGTTGAGATAACGACCGACCATGATAAGATGTGTAATCCTAATGACTGTTCATCACAGCAGGCAAAAAAAAACTGGAGTACCATTAAGAGAACTGCTCGGAGGAGAAGGTAGGCTCAAAATCAGAACTGAACCTGAAGATCTATTCCGGGTTAAGGTTACTGTTTGATTAATATTTAACGCTTACCTGACGATCGGCTGTAATGCAGCGAAACTTTAACCATGAGATCGCGAGGAGAGTAATGAAAAGATCCAACAAGCTGTAAACAACAGTGCCCGGTCGAAACCTATCGTTCTCACGAATATTTCTGTTGAAACGCATGTGTGCGGAATTACGCGTATTAATTGATGCCGTAACTCCGCCATGGCCGGTCCCAAGCCCGGATGAGAAAGGAGGAGGGTTGGAGACCGTGGCAAG